CATAAATAGAACATTTTATTAAAAATAAGTGCACTTTGCAGCAACCAATAGCATTACCAAAAATACCCGGCCTTGCTGGCAACTTTATTTCTTCTATAGTACAAGTTATGTATTTTCCTAATTTTTTTAGTTATGTGCAGTTCCTAAAAATGATATTTACATTGTACTATGTGTCTATAGAGCACTGCTTGCATATTGGAAATCTCATCGCCTGCCACTCAGAATGAGCTCCAAATGTTGAAAATGTTATTAATCAAATTTGGAAGCCTGTTTATTACAGTTTTGAAGGAAATACACTATGCTTGAACAGTATTCAAACCTTTTTTCTAGTTGAAACAATTTCAGGTGAATGGTTTTGAATGGTTTATAGCTCATGGACAAGTGAGTTGAGCCACACTGATAATATGTACTCCTATCCAATTTTGTTTTGTTATTTTTTCTTTTTAATCTGTGGGGAAAATGTGTATGTGTATAAAGAAATCCAGATACTTTTACTGTATCGTATACCAGCTTAGGAAACAATCCTGAGAAGTAAAAAGAAAATCTCTTTTTTGCTCTTTTTCTGTATAATGCATTATCTCATGGACAGCATATACTCTCAGTAGCCCAAACTTCAATCTTTGCTCCTAGAAGGAGTCAATGAGATAGTAGAGCTATTTCTAGACAGTAAAAGTTAAGAGTACCAGACGATCTTATGAGAGAGCATGGCCCTGAGTATAAAAGATGAATAAATGTTAATGCATAAAGAGATTCTGACTTTGCAGTTTTTAATTTAGTTAATTTGTTAACAATATTGCTAATCTCTTTTTTTAGAAATCCTGTATATTTAAGTATCAAATGATAATGAAAAAAGAAAAAAATGTTATAAACACTTGATTTATGTATGTAGTCATTGAGAAATAAATTACAATGTGATTTATTAGAGGCATTTATCTCCTTATCCTCATAAAGTAGAAAATGTCTTAGGTAAATTAAATAGGATCCTATAGGCCCATTTTATTTCTCCATGATTATGTGCATTAGGCAAACATTGCCTCTCATAGCTGGCTGCACTGCCTTCTTTGAAGAAAACAATCATTAAATTGAATATAATACATAATTCTATAGTTAAAATTTCAAAGTGGCTCCATGGATTTCCTGAATTATAGAAATAATAAAGAATTGTGTTAACATTTTAAAAATGAAAACATTCGTTATAGCATAACATTACACAGACTGGCATTTACTCCATCAAATGTGTATTTTCCTGGGTTGTCAAGCATGAATTCATATGGGTATAGGGAAAGAAAAATGATAAATAGTACAGTCAAGAGAATCCGAAGAGTATAATCTGTACAATTCAATTAAATGATCATTCACAAATTTATGTAATTGGTCCAGAATTTTTTTAACATCTCTTTACATTTAGTTGCCATTTAAATTGATTTTTTACACTATACTTTCTTCCCTCAGCAGCTACTGTACATATACAAGTACTATGAACTGATAGTAGCATTTTATGCATTTGGATAGAGTGTATTCTGTAAGGTTTCAATATATACATAACTTGAAAAAGAGAGGGGCAGGCTCTTTGTACAGTACACCTTCTCTTTCACCTTTTAAACTGAAACTGGAAGGACCATAGATCTTCATGTACGTCAATAAAGATTAACTTTCTATATTTCAATGGCCATAAAATATGTGAGAGAGTAGAGCAGGGTTGAATTGCAAAGATTGTAGTTAAGCTCACCCTATGTCCAGTGTGCTTTAATAACAGAATATCAGAGTTGGAAGGGATCTTGGGGGGGGGGTCTTCTAGTCCAACCCGCTGCTCAGGCAGGAAACTATACCATTTCAGGCAAATAGTTGTCCAATCTCTACTTAAAAACTTCCAATGTTGGAGCATCCAGAATTTCTGGAGGCCAGGCATTCCACTAATTAATTGTTCTAATTGTGAGGAAGTTTCTCCTTAGTTCTAGGTTGCTTCTCTCCTTGATTAGTTTCCATCCATTACTTCTTGCCCTGTCTTCAGGTGCTTTGGAAAATAGCTTGACTCCCTCTTCTTTGTGGCAACCCCTGAGATAGTGGAACATTGCTTTCATGTCACCCCTAGTTCTTCTTTTCATTAAACTAGACATACCAATTCCAGCAACCATTCTTTATATCTCTACTCCCCTAATCATCTTTGTTGCTCTTCTCTGTACTCTTTCTAGAGCAGACATGTCAAACACAAAGCCTGGGGGCAGGATGCGGCCTGTGAAGTGGTTTCATGTGGCCCACGAAGCCATCCTGGCCCACTGCCTTGGCCCTGGCCCAGGCCAGCTGGGAGCCCCCACTGCCTTGGCCCTGGCCCAGGCCAGCTGGGAGCCAATGTACAATTTTGTGGTGGCCATCTATGCTGAAACATATTCAGTCTTAGCTCCACAAGGCCGTCTGGAAACAGTGAGGAACCAGTCCCTGCTGCATCGGCTCCACCCCCTGGGTGCATGCTGAGGAGGTGTCACTCTTTGTGAGGAATGAAGAAATCGCTTGGAAGTGGCCAGCAAATGGCCCTCATCTACTTCACATGATGGGCTGTGGGGGAGGGGTGTCGGCAGGCAGCGGGGCGGTCTCTTCACAGTGAGGTTCCTCCAGTGGACTATGCCTTGGCACTTGCCCTGGTCCCACCCCCTTCTCCCGGAGACCCTCAGATCTGTCCCATTCCTGTCCAGGCCCCCACAGGCACCCTTTATGCAAATGATGTAGAGTTGGCCATGCCCACCCAGTAGGCCACACCCACCCTGGCCACCCTCACCTCCCCCCCCGAGGGCAACCACAATGCTGATGCGGCCCTCAATGAAATTGAGTTTGACACATCCCTGTTTTAGAGTCTCAACATCTCTTTTACATCGTGGTGACCAAAACTGGATGCAATATTCCAAGTGTGGTTTACTAAGGTGTTATACAGTATTGTCAACACATTCTAGTTTACTAGTGCACAATATAAAATTATCCAGATGCTGCTAAATTGCAGTTGTAAGAAGCCCCAGCTAGGACATTCAGTTTAGCAAACTGTGGAAGGCATTTATGCCTCCATGCTTTGGTCCAGGAATGAGAAGCATATAATAGAATAATAAAATGTTAAATTAATCTTCTCCTTTTCTGACACCATTTTTCAATCATCAAGTAGTAAATTCTGTAAAGATTTCAGATCCATTAGTATAATTACTAATATCTGTGTTATAGAAATACTAGAATCGGGTAATAATATTTTGAATATTTGTTATCTCTTTGTCTGAAGCATACTGTATGGTCTTGAATCCAAAGCAAGTTAATTTAATTTATACTATATATTATTTTCATGTAGTTATGGTACAAAAAGGCATGATTGCCACAAGAAAAACATGAATTTTGATGTTTGTAGATTTTTCTTTAGCTATATGAAATTTGTTATACTAACCCCAGAATTAGTAATATCCTAATTTTATGTTAAGGACATTTTCCTCTCAGAGATGCAATTGCCTCTTCCCCAACAGTATCTGTCCTGGATGGACATATAAGTATGAAGTAGATATATGGTCCATACTGGAGATCAGTGAAAGGATGATAATAAATCATCACGTGTGAATTCTTAAAATAAGCTCCATTATTAATGTTTTTGTATCTGTGGCAGTGGCTCCCAACCTTTTGAGCACCAGGGACTAGTTCAATGGAAAGAGGTTTTTTTCGCAGACTGGAGAGGATGTGGTTTCGCATGCTGCCTGTATTTTGTGGATAGAGCTTTGTTTGTTTGCATGGCCCAGTTTCTGGCATGCCGTAGCCGGGTGCCAGTCCATGGACCAGGGGATTGGAGATCCCTAATCTATGGAAAGAGTCATCCTGAAATCTAACATCCCAGGCAGTTGTTATGACGTATCTAATCATTCTGTTTACTGATTTCATGTGACTCCTTCATATTCCTTTAATGTGATAAAGTAAGTATGATACAAGAAAAGTAAAATTCATACTGAATCGAAATAAACATAAATAAGAGCCTCTGTATTTACAGTGGGGAAAAAACCCATTGAATCTCCACATTGCTAGCCAGCAGAAGTTTTCTGTTGATGATGATCCTGTTGAAGTCTGCCCCAGATATACAGTTATTTTTTTCTCTCATGCCTTAAACCTATAGTTAATATAATGGTATATATTCCATAACATTGTATATAGTCTACAATATTTTGTTCTGATGTGTTTTTGTTTCTGAGAACTGACACTGCAGATAATGATAAGATACTTAGTTGGACTAATCATTTACAGTCTTGACCTTGAATCTCCTGGCATTCTGTATCTTTGAAAAAGAAGCAGTGTCAACTTCTTTGAATGAGGTAGTGGTCAGATTAGAAACCTTGATCAGATTAAAAACCTAATCTGTATCATATCAGGGAAGCAGTTATAATTGATTGCCTCCTTCAGCTTCCTGGGCAAGCTGCTTCAGTAAATAGTCACTAATAACTGCAGGCTCACTTGGATGAAATTTGTTTTCTGGATCTATTTTAATCTGGAATTGAGCCTCAATTTGAAACAAAGTCCTCGGATGACATATGCTGAAAGAGGGGATATGGGATTACAATCTGTTTGGTTGCTTGTCCTCTCAGCAACTTGTTGACATCATCAACACTAATAGTCTTCTGGGAATACTGTTAAGCTTGGATCTCTGGGATGACTGATTCTGGAAGGTAATATGGGAGCCTATTTTTCTGCCTCTGACAATTGCTTTAAAATTCGTCAAGACTTTGTTTATCTCCTGCACTTTACCATCTAAAACCTCTGAAGTGATTAACTTAAGATGATGGCTAGGATGTGATTGTACAGATAATATCTTGTTTGGCATTTACTTGCAGTACTTGTGTGCAATATTGCAATACAAAAACAAAAGGATTGCAGTTTGTATTGTGATGTCACAATGGGTATTTCATAATTTGCCCCACTCTGTCAATGCCCATGGCAACACTGCAACAAATGTTTTGTTTCTGTCCTTGCAGTTCATTATGGACATCTGTGGGGAGTGTTTAAATAATCAGAACTGAATGTAGGAATGTTCCAGCAATGTAGTTCAATTTTGAAAATAATGCAAATAGTCCCTTGAAGGATGCTAAGTTGTGAGGTATTATAATTCTGTAGCTTTGTTTTGTGATCTATCAGTTGGACTGGACATTTACTGAAAATATATGTGGTCTTATTTTATATTCATTTATATGGGAGTAAGCATTAAATCTGATTTATCTAACTATGTTGCATGTTTTGAATTGTAGCTATGAGAAAGATGGAAACCTTTTATGCACATATTTCTCCTTACATGAATTGAATCTATCCTTTATGGCTTTTCTGCTTGACAAACCACATGTTTATATCAAATAAGTGTCCACAACTCAATTGAAAGGTAAAATGATCAGACTATTTAGTCAAATCAGAAACATAAAAAAATGGCTAAAAACATACAGGTGGAACTACAAATAAACATAGTTTATTTTAAAGTTGTTTATTTGATTAACTGCATGCATTTGTATATTTTAATATAGCTTATATTTTACATTTTACATACTGGTAAAACAATACTTCTGAAATTAGAAACTTTCCTTTAATTTTAGGTATGTTATAAAAAGCATATGAATATTTAAAATAGGGCTTTACCATCTGTGGCTTTTGTATTTATTTCTGCAATCTTCCTTGATTGTCAGATAAATAGAAAGTTGAGGTGTAAATTAAATAGTAAATAAATGAAATAACACAGTGGCATTAAAATATCTGCTGACATGTGAGCCATATAATCGAAGTGCTCAGGACTTCTCTAGTGTGGTATTTATAAGCTTTTTGAAACAGTTTACTTTAGCATGTTCAACCTGAAGAAAAAGAAGCAGCACAGCTCCTGGTGCTTTCTTCAATAGCTGTATAGCAAAGCAGAAAGGAGAGCAGTCAGACTGAAATGGCCTAAAAGTCACTGGAATATTTAAAAAATTAAAGAAGAAATGTATTTTTTCCAAGCTAGCCAAGATGATTTATTTATAATGATGTTAATATTAACAGCATCTTAACTGAAAGTTTACTTCCATTACAATAAAAAAATTGGCAAGAATCCTGTGATGTGGTTGCATGCATAATAACTTATTTGTATGGTTTGCTCATGCTCTTAATGGAAAGCTGGATGTGAATACTATAGTAGAAATAATTTGTAGTGATAACGGAAACAAAATCACTGCCAAAACTTTGAGATAAATTGTTGATATAAAAGTATGCTACCATATTCTTCTCTGGATCATTTGGCATTTTGGGTTGTTTTTAAAGACAATAAAGAACTCATTGTGGCAATGAAACTGGAATTACTAAAACATTCATGATTCTTGTAAAGCTATTCTAGGACATATGAACATGTCATTCATTCATTGGTAGCTTTGAGACAATCACATTATCTTACCTCAAACTACTTAACAGAGGTGTTGCGAGGGGGAAAATTATGACAAGGAAAATACTTAAATACAAATAAATGGATAACCAATCAACCAGCCAGATATTCATTCTACCCTTAGATTTTATACTAAGCTTATTGCTGAACTTCAAGTATTAAGGAAACATAGCCATTGTGCTATTTTTAACTTGGGGCAGGTTGAAACCAGTTAGGCAAACTAATTCTGATCATTCTGTCTGCCAAACTATATGGCAGTACTTTGTGGCTCATAAGCAGAAACATTACCAGACCACAACAATTGGTATGAGTGGGAGAATCCCAGTTCATTTTTTCACAGGTTATTTTGAATGCACCAGCCAAGAGAAATTCATCAGAGAAATAGAGTTGCATGCCCAGTCTTTATCTATGTTTATTTGTAGGTTGGACAGCTAAATCAGCTTTTTCTTCTGAATAATGGAGAAAATCATGCTAGTCTTCTGCCTCTGATGATATCCAGGAGGTAGAAGGTGTGGCTTCTTTGGCTCTTGAGTCTGTGATTGATCTAAGACATTGAATACACAATGGATGTTCAGAAGTATGTAGGTACTGTGATTTTTTCTGATCTCCTTACCACTATATTTACTTATATTGCTACATGTCCATAATTATATTGGTAGAGGGTTTTTTATTGTTCTAAATCCTAGACCTAGATTTAAAAAATGGAAAGCCAATGCAAAATCCTAAACTGTATGAATGATGTTGATGAAGGATAGGTCTTTTTATTTAAAAAGATTATATAAATATTTATTTAAAATATTTATATAATTTGAACAGGTTTTTAATAATCCAGTTGCCAAACCTCTCCCCCAAATGTGATTGCATAACTTCAGGGGGAGAGGCAGTTGTAACTTAAAGGATGATCAAAGCAGCTTTTTAAAAGTGTGAATGGTAGTTAAACAACCGGTCATAAGTTGAGGACTACTGTAGAGGCTAAGTTGAAATAAAATAGATGTCTTAATCTGATCTGAAATATATGTAAGTGACCTTGCAGCAAACAAAATTAGAAATTGATGACTGCTCCAATTTACATTGAAGGCAGCTTTTTTATGGCATTCTAATTCTATAAGGTTGCACACTGTTGCATCCTGGTATGTTTCTTACACTAAATTAGCATTTTATGTTGATTTAGTGGACACACTTTGAATCTGGCATAAAGACTTTGATTTTTCTGTATATGTTCTAATTATGTTTACAAAAGCTTATTTACAAGTTCCTGTGCTTTTATAGGAAAGGCATTTGTAGAGCATACATTTGATTTTTATTCTTTGTAGCTGAAATTCTACTGATTTCTTTGCATATGGTTTGTGACCTGTTTAGATCAAGTGTACCTGTGTCGTTTGTCTTCTGATCTCCGACAAGCAATGGCAATAGAAGCGCTGATGCCAGATCTGTGAGCTATACTTAAAAACTCTCGGTTTTCTTGCCCTCAAGCTCCAAGATAACCTAATTTTCTCTCGGTGGAAACAATGCAATAATTTGACTCCTTCTCCACATATAATTGTTCAGATGACCTTTCTCCCTGAAACTGGAAGGGAAGAAGGGAAGAAGGGAAAATGAAGGAGTCACTGTAAGGTTTGCTTTTTATTCCCTCCTTTGCCTTCTTATTTTTTTAAATACTTGCTTCTATCTCTTTGTCTGATCTACCAGATTTGTCAGGCACCTATAAAATTACCTTTGCATGTTCATGTATGCACATACATTTAAAACCTAGCTGCTCAGTATTTGTAAAAGATGATTTACTTTGGTGTGTGTGTGTGTGTGTGTGTGTGTGAGGGTTCTTTGTTTTTCAAGGACTAGACACATCATATGAGAGAAAATTACTGCTCATACTTTATTGTAGTACACATATTACCCTGGGTTAACTCCACTCTCCTAGGTTGCAGGTTGCTGTAGCTACATAAATAAGTATTTGATGGTTAGTCCTTATAATAAGTACAAGTCTTAAAAACTGTAAAGTGGCATCTAACCCCTGCCTTCCTCCAAATGTTTTGCATTTGTTGGGATTAGGTGCTACCTCAGTGTGGTTGCCACTCTTCTGGTTGCTACAGAGCTCCAGGCCAAGCTCTAGTCTAAGCCAAATTCCAGACAGGAATCATACTGCATATCCGTACCACAAGGGGCTGCTTACCATAGCTTGTGGACCTGGCAATTGAATGATAGGTCTCTTGCTTCTCTGGAATAGTCAAACATTCGAGACATCACTTTCTGCTTCTTTATCTCTTGCTATCTTGTTCTTTTTCTGCTATACACTGCATTTTTGTATATTAATGGCCTGGGAGGCTGAAGCTATCTATGGATATCGGCAAGTTCCTGAAAATGCTAGGTCTGCTCAATTAGCCAGATACCTGGAATACTGGTATGGATGCTTGTGAGCAAACGGTGAATGGGAGAATAAATGAATGAGCATCTCTTTGCAGGTTTTTGGGTCTGTAAAGAAGGGATTAGATGAGCTATCTAGGTGAGTGGGGGTCGAAAGTATTTCTGCCCAATTGCAGCTACTTTCTCCAGAAACAAACAGCAACCCCAACTTCATTCTCCCTCAGTGTGGCTGTCTGGATTATGGGAACAGAGGCAACATTAAAGTAATACTATGGTTGGGTTCATGCATACTGCTAAGCTAAATGTGATTTGTTTGAATTGGACGGTCTGTGTTGTGTGAACCCTGTTGCTAGGATTGGTAAACCGTGGTTTATGGATTAACATTTAACAACATGTTGGTAAGAAGATGTTCATACAATCCCTCTTGATGCTCTCAAATTTCTTGCAGTGCATGACTTTTAAAATTTTTTTAAATTAGAAACTGGTATCTTTTTAATCCTGGAATGCTTCTGAAAATGATTCCCATAAGTTTCAGTACTTTGTTTGTAACTGCCCAGTTGTGTGAAAAAAAGACAAAACAAAGAATGCACATATGATATGGTGAGAGTAATTCTGGCAAAATAATGCTCTAAGCTGATTATAATCTCCCATGAGAGCTATTTTATGAATAACAAGGATCCTGGAAAGGCATTTTGAAAAGCTGTTTTCAAAATTTCAGGTGGGTCCACCAGCATGAACCCTGACCCAATGTCAACAAACAATATTTAAACAATTCAAAGCTGAGCATGAGGCATGAACCCAGAATATCAGTTTCTTTACATGTCAAAGAAAATGGCTCTTGCAGCAAATGTAAGGTTACATGATGACTTCTTAATGACCCCATTGCTTAGGGACAGAAGTTCTGGTTCCGATTATGGTTTTAAGCCGAGGAGTGCCTGTATGTAAATACATGTTTATTTTTAAATATGAATACACACATACATATGTATCTACATCATTAGTTTACATTTATCTGAAATGTGATTCTAAAGTTAATTTACATGTTACAAGCTTATTTTCTTTTTATTTGAGATCCTTCACATAGTCAGTTTGAGCCACAAGTGAAATATGAGATTTAGGAATTATTACAATGAAGCTGCAGTGAATTAGGTTTTTGGTAGATCTCAGTATCATCAGTTATGAAGGTTTGGGTCTTATATTTTTTGTTATTAAACCATGGATCTGAATTATTCTAAACATATGAGAGGATATAGAACTAAACTAAAGTAAACTAAACTAAATCTAGAACTAAACAATAGTTCTGGAAGAGAAATAGCAATTAACAGCATCTTTCTTATTTATCTCAGCATTAAAATAAGTAATATTATGCATAGTACATCAAACTGAAGAATTATATGTTTTCAGTGTTGGTTTGATAAAAGACCAGTTCAGATTATCCATTTGAATAGCTTATTTCAGACATAAAAAATATTTAGATCTTTCTCCACATAAATGTCTTACCCCTGAAATATTATTCACCTCTATTGCCCTAAGCAGTTTGTAGGTCAATAGCACTTTGAAAGACAAAATCCTGTCATCTCCTCCTTCCCACTCTCTTGGGTCTTAAGAGAAAAATGCATGTCTTAGATAATTGATTTCAATGGCTTAACATCTTTTTTTGCAACATTTTTTTTACTGCTTGTAATTTTGTTGTGACTACCCAAATAGTACTTTGTGCTATTCTATTTTCCCATGAGAATTTGTACTGCAAACGTGTCTTCATTTGTAATGGTTGATATATTTCATAGCAGACTAAAAAAGGACTTAATATTAAATAATTTCTATATGCTTTCAGTATCTAGTTTGATGGATACTATATATCAGAGGTCCCCAACCTTTTAGGCACCAGGGACCAGTTCCGTGGAGAAAGATTTTTCCACAGACCAGAGAGTGTGTGATTTTGTGTGCTGCCTGCATCCCCTGGATGGGGCTTCGCTTAATTGTGCAGACAGGTTGTTGGCATGCCACAGCCTGGTACTGGTCCATGGACCGGGGGTTGGGGGGCCCTGCTATATATGTCTAAATTCCATACATAGGAAGAATGTCAGAAGTTTATAGATGAACTAATCTAGTTCCTTTCAGGATTTTCACAGGGAATGAATCAGTTGCATTTACTTTTCCAGAGCTTTGTAATATTTTTATAGATTATCAACCAGATAACTGTGCTTTGTAGATAGGTGGATCAAGAAACAGCTTTCTTTAGAAGTATGCAAAATGTTTCAAATTCAAAATGTTTCAAGTTCAAAGCCCTATATTTTAAAGACTCCAGAAATGTTTTGATTATACTGAGCAAAATATGGTTACATTAACCTTGGAACATTATTTAAATGGTTGCAACAACTGTCTTAAACATAAAAAAAACCCAGAATTTAAAAGGCTACATTCTCAATAGAAAGAGACTGAAATTCAAAATGTTTTAAGTTTGAAATGCTCTGTCCCAAGTTTGAAACAGATGTTTTGATTCCTTCTTGTTCTGAATTTGAAGTATTTTTAATTTGAAATGTTTTTCACATCATCATTTTGTTTGGAGTGAGACTAGTATCCTTAAAGATTCAACTTGTAAACAGTATTGGTTTGCTCCTTAAGTAGAATTTTCTATATGATGGCAGGTGTTGATGCATTATTTACAACAGACAGACAATAGATAGATAGATAGATAGATAGATAGATAGATAGATAGATAGATAGATAGATAGATAGATAGATAATCAATCGTTTGAATCCTTTCCATTGGGCAAAATGAAAAATAAAACGGGGGATGGAGAGAAAGGGAAGAACAGGAAGGTAGCTGAAAATCCAAGAATTAATTATAGATTATGAAGTATGAGAAGAGAAAAATCAAATATTCAATGTACAAAGCCAAGATGAGTACTTCACATTCAGTTCTGAAGTTCACATCTTGGCTTCATATGTTGGATATTTGCTTTTTATCCTCTCCTGCTTCAAATCTGAATTGAAAATAATGCTTCAGATCTGAGATAGATCAAGTGTACTTTTCTTGTTTTAATTTTATAAACTGCACATTATGGTAATTATGAATGTTTGTATGATAAATTTTATGTGATAGTATGGGATATAAAATAAATAGCAAGCAATAACAAAAATATAGTTAGACTTACAAAATACAGATATAAATGAACATAAGCTTTGTTGCTCTAGATTGGAAGGTGAAATGAATTATCCTATTGCAAATATTTAGCTCATATGTGTTCCAGGCATCCTGTTCAGCAAACAAGCAATTATTATCCATTCACCCACAAAAATGTGTTGCAATATTATCCACTACTTCTGTGGCATATAAGATTTACAGCCTTCATACTCCATTCTGTTGTTTCGTTTATTAATAATTTTGTAAACCCAAAGAAATAATTTATTTTATGTTTCACCTTAGAAACTTGGATGAAACTGTATACTGTAAAGAACATGAGTTCATTTTGTTTGGCCAAAAATCATGTTCTTTATTTTAAAACTTTAATATTTATTGTAGAGAGTTTTGGCTCACCTTCTCCTCACACTCAGTCCTGTAAAGATTATCAGGGAAATCATCTAGGAAAATTCCTTTACATCAATGGTAGTAACCCCCTAATGAAGTTTCAGTGTTATTTTTCTTACTACTAAGTTCCAGTGTTTTTTTTTTTTTTTTTGAGGAAGTTTGTAATTTAGGTGCTATGAGGTTAATCCCAAACTCTGGTAACTATATGGACAATTGTTCAATATTTCAATTTGTTCACTGATTACCTGTAACAATTACAATAATTCTGTTCCAAGGATATTTCTGATCCATTCATCCATCTATCGAGCTTATCTACCTTGGCAGTTATCTTTCCTTTCTTCTACTTTTGTCAATCTTGCCAAGCATTAGTATTTTCTAGCCCATCATAAATTCACATTGCATATGCAGAGTTTCTACTTATGGACTGTTGTGTCTGGAAAGCAATTAGTGTTTATTTTGATTGGACAATAGACAGAATAGTTCTTTTTGATATCTATGAGATTTCCAGATTCCAGATAATTTGAAAAGGCATGTTCTCCATCTCTGTGCTGAGAAAAGGCGTTCAGGTAAGACAACGCCCCTTTTCTTTTTCTCTCTTAATATTCAACTTTCACAATACTTTATAATTGGAAAACCTACTGCTTTAACTATTTTGATCTTTGGTTGTCAGAGAAATATCCTTATGCTGCACGGTTTATCTAAGCTTAATATAGTCTTATATTCTTTTCTTGAATTTGCTTTCTAAGTTAATTAGATAATGTGATGATATGTGGTTTTATCTTATCCTTTCCTATTCTGAACCATTCCATTTACACTAGCTTCTAGTTCATTATGAAGGCTCCTTGGAAGAAAAATAAATATGAAAAGCATGAATGTTGTTAACACTGCCATACCAAAGAGAGTTTAAAGAATAAACCCATTCTTTCAGGGAAAATGCCACCCTATCCGAAACCAAAATAGGAATTATTCTGGTGTAGAATAGCTTCTGAATCAACAGCCACTTCATCTTGTTACTATTAGGGCTGAGTTTGTTTCTTCTCTTCCAAATGCTTACCATTTTCAGACATTAGGTACAGTCTTCCTTCACCAACTACTGGGTATCAGCAGCATCCTGATACCTCTTCCCATACTAATGGATGACTTCTTCCAATAGCTTCAGGTAGATGTGAAATAGTATGACAGAAAGGGTAGAGCAATAGGGCATTCAATAAAGGAATCACCAAGGGTTCAACTTTTCTTTCCTCACTAATTCTGGCAACACTTGCTCAAGAGTGATCAGCCATTGAAAAATGATGTCCCATTCTCAATCTTTGTACATAGTATAAAATAGCATCTATATATCACAGACAATGAAAAAGTCAAACAAGACAAGCAATCTAAGTCCTACTGTGATCAACAGGAATAACTAATATAGTTTTCATCTCGTGCCCAAGCATCAATCCAGACTGGAAAGGGTCTTCATCCAAGAACTCCTGTAGCTACAGGCCTACCACTTAACAATTTTCTCTACAAAAGTAATAATTGAAATAGTGGTACTTGTACAGAGTGATTGGTGTCTAATATGAATGAGTTGAGGGAGCATTTATGAAGAAGAGGTGTACCATTGCATCTTTAAGGCTGGTGACATACGTTCCTCACTCAAAGAGGCATTCAACAAACCCAGCTCCTCATCTCTTCCTTTGGTAGGCTGTACCAGGATCTAGCCTAAGGGGAGAGAACTTGCCTCACAGAGATCCTATTCACTTCATCAAGATCCATAGACTCACATGAATCGCAGTAAACATAAATATTATCCTGTTGTTTACTAGGATATAGCAAGGCACATATTTAGTTATGTCATTTTAAAATATCATTGCCACTCCATTCTTAAGTTTCATATTCTGGTTATTTAAAGTCTCTCCCCCCCATGCATTTACTCTCATATTCCTAAAGAACCATATTTTACAGGTATATACTTTTCTACTTTAAGAATTTCAAATTCTCTTGGTTTGTATTTTTCATATTCCTTGCTCGAACTGCAAAATGACTCTTCCTTTAGTATAGACAGTATCAATGATCAGACTTTCTTATGATCTGGACTATCATTTCTAGGTCTATTTATAAAAGTTCGGTTTTCTATCCTAATAATTTGTATCTTTTCACAGATAATCATCTGGCACCCAAGAGTTGTCTATGTTTTTAGCCCTGCCTATATAGTGGGCATGCGGGGAGGGATTGACAACAGTACAAATGCTATCAAAACATCTGTATATGCCTTTGAGATCCTCCAGACCTGAGTTTAGACTTCCTTTTAAGTGAATTGGCTTCCTTCATGCCTTCAGTGCCTCACCTGCTCTCATTCTGTCAATTGTACTTACAGTCCCTGTTCCTTTATGACTTTAGCAGCAAGGGAGACCCAACTAAGGACTCCTTCTGGGATGATGCTGGGGATGATGATGCTGGGAATGACTTAAAGCAGCTTACATTAAAAACTTAATAAAAATGATCTGAATGTGAGATATGCAAATGAACTGATGTTTTGGGAAAGTATTTTTTTTTAAAAAAAATAACCAGTTTCAATCATGACATGGCAGGATTATAAAATACTTCATCACATGGCCTATACGAAACGTCAGGTTTTTAATGCCTTTTTAAAAACTTAATATAATCTGTCTCGGAGAAAACGGTAGGAAAATAAATCTGTCTCTATTCTATCACTTTGCCTTGGCTGGAGAGCAAAGACAAGAACATGCTGACACAATGCTGCTATTCTCCCTTGGTCTTTTCAGTTGTTTTAATACAAGATTTTAGCATGTCCTAGAAATTTACAGGTTTATTAAGGTCATTTTCTGAAGCTTAAGCTAAGTATCTGTTTACTGTATTTGACATCAGTTTGACTCCATGGAATAAAAATATAAGTCAGACACAGATTTCCTTCTTTCCATTGGCATTAGCCAATATTTATGAAAGCAAACTATATGCCAACAAGTTATATGCATCACATATCACATATTTCTCAACCAATCTTTTTTTGTTTCTTTATTGCAGGTTTACATATAAATGGTATATGTAGTTATGCCTATATTTATACAGGCTTAGTAACCCATAATAAAAGAAGATCACGGTATCAATAAATATACTTCATTCTACTGTACATGCTTTTGGTATCTATATAAATAATTGGCTGGCATTACAATGTTGTTATAAAATGTAAGACAGATATGCAATGATTGGGAGTTGATACGATATTCTTATATGAATTTGTTAAAATCAAAATAATTATAAATAGCAAAATCCCATTGTAATATAAAGTCTTTCCCTATAAATATTTTATATTATTTTTATCTTTTTAAGATAGGAAGATCTTCATTACAAGTAAGATTGCTGGCTGATTAAGCTTATTGCAATTACCAAATACAATCAGGCTCATGTTCTACTATATGTTCAAATCTCTGCTGAGAAAAATGTGATCTAGTTAAAATACATAAATGTTGAATTATATGCAAAGCATTCTCAGTAGACAACATTTTGAGCTCAACATGTGTTATCCTAAGCTTGAAACAAACATGTTCCAAGTTTGAAAACATCTTTTCTCACCTACCAGAAGCCTTCCAATGCTATTCTCGCTTTGCTGGGAATGCTCTGAGTTTTGTGATTGTTTATTCACACAGTATTTAGCTACTGCAAAATAGGATTCTTTCTTCTGGAAGAAAATAAATATTTCTTATAGATACAGTAACATCATTTTTGCTTGAACTTTGAAAATCAACTTAAGCATTTAAGTTTGTGTTTTTAATTACTTCTTGAATCGTTGTCATCTAGCTTTTTCCAAAACAGATTCAGCTCCATTTCACTTTTTCAAACGCGCGCGCGCGTTCACACGCATGCACACATGGAAATTGTACTCATGCATTGCTAAAATTATCTCTAGCCTATTTTAAGGCTCGGAATAGCAATAAACTGTCATATCGCCCTGTATCTGTGAATCATATCTGGGGTGTTGCGATGGCTTGTTGTGACTTGACTGCTGCTAAGCAAGATTTCCCCACAATTTTATTCACTGAAGTACATCACCGGAGGCGGTGTCAGTGTGTGAAAAGGGATTTACCCCAGCCAAGGAAGCGCAATGACACTGGCGTCAGTTTGATACCACCAAGTCTGTGAGCCGCGCGTGTTTATGTTAGAGTGGTGGAAAATACTGTAACGTTTTCTGTGGGTGTGGAAAAGAGAGCGAGCGCCCAAATTCAGATTCGTTCCCCCTGCTGTCACAGCAGCGAACCGCGAGGTCCCCCGTACGCACAGCCTTGCTTTGTTGCTTTTGTTGAGGGACCCCATCCTCCGTTGTCGTAAAACAACGAAAGAAGTCTAATCGAAGGAGAGCAGGCCGGCCGGCACGCCCCTCTTGCTGAAAGTTGGGCAGGAAGGATTGGCGGTATCTTCTGGCAATGTACGGCGAAGAGAACTTGGGGCTGGGGGGGGGGAGATGGGGGATTCGGTAACAGGGCTTCAAGCAGGTACTAACTTGAGGGCGGCTGTCGGCAGTGCGAAGGCTTGCCGAGTCCCGCCTGGCCCGAGGGGAGATGCTAGAAATGGTTTTGAGTTTCTGAGGACTGTGGCAAGTGAGGCGAGAACCGGGAGAAGAGGCAAATATGCGCGTCTGTGAGAACAAGACATGTAGATAGTTATATTCTGCAAGGCTAGGCTGTGCCACGTGTGTGCGCGCGTTTGTGTGTGTGTGTGTGTGTGAGAGAGAGAGAGAGCCCGCCTGTGTGTTTGCGCGCGTGTTACAGCTGCCTGTCCCCGCAGGCTGGGGAATAGCTGTAGATTTGCCTTTTGGCTGCCGACTGTGTGGGCTTTGCTAGCCCTGACGGCTTCCTATGTTAGTCGTTGCTGGCTTTCTTCAGCTTACCAGCGCCAGCCAGGAAACGAGCAGCTTTGCTTCTTTTGTAGCGAGCCCGGTGTACTCGCAGACTTCGGTTCCCTCCTGATCTGCAGCAACGGCGGCCGCTCGGAGAGCGACGGAGAAACCTCTGGGGACCTGCTCGACTCTCCCCTTTGGCTTCTTTTTTCGGACGAACCAGCCGCTGTTTTGCGTGATCTGCCGCCGTCGACTCCGGTTGCAGCCTGTCGCGTCTGGCTCGTCGAAGACTGCTCGATGCCTTCGCCGTGAACTCGAGGAGGAGCGAGATCGGCGCGCCTGGTATGCAGTCGGAGTAATCCTCTTTTTTGGGGCGGAGGGTTGGTGGGATGGTCGGAGGGAGGGGGCGGTAGGGGAGTCGTTTCGAAGTGATGATGATCCGAGAAGTTTCTCCTTTACTGGCGACAACTCCGAACCGCTCCCCCAATCGCTGATTCGGGGGCTGCGAAATATGCCGCGTTTCCGCGCCCGGCTGCCAGATTTCAAAAGGGAGGAGCTGCCTTGTTCAGATAGCTGCCTGCCCCCTTTCTTCTCCCGCTCTCCTGGTGGGTCTCACCTGCTGCCGCTGCTGTTACTACAGCTGCTCTTCCTAACCCATCCCTTTCCTTCAGTGGCCAGTGGGAGTGGAGTGGGGAGCCCTTCTTCCCTGCATCCCTAAGCAATGAGCATGCAGGGGTTGCCGTGCTGCTCTTCGGGCATCACTTAACGGACGGCAGCTGGCACCATACCGAGGCTTGGGTAAGTTAATATCAGTCTCTTTTAGCGGGTGCTTGCACGGGCCAATATAAAATACTACTATGCACTACACTATCTTTCCATAAGACGAAGCAGTTGTGACTATTTTCGTGAGCTCCCTCCCCACCACCACTCCACGCTTCCTTCCCAGGTCTGTCTCTCTTCTGTTTCTCCACCCCATTCATCGCACAGCAGCCACCGCCACTGGGAGCGCGCGGCCCCTTTAAGAGCCCAGCTTTGCCTCCCGGTAGCTGAAGGTCATTAAACACAAAAGCTCTCCAGCGCTGCGGTCCAATATAGCGCATGCGCCCTGCCCGAGGACTGGCAGGGAGACGGCAATATGGCGAGAATGCCTGGCAGCGGCGGCGCCGGCGGAGACTGGAGCACCGGGGGCGGTAGCAGTGGTGGCGGTGCAGGTGGTGAGCACAATGCGGGGGACCGGCAATCCAGCCGGGGTGGCCCCCATCGGCCTCTCCACTATTGCAGCGCGGGAGAGGACGAGGACGGGGAAGACGAGGATGAGATACAGGAGGTGCAGATAACGGGGGACGAGGAGGGCGCCGATGGGGGAATCCTGCTGCTGGACGACGACGAGGAAGACGAGGAGGATGTGATGATGGGACTTGCGTGGGACCCTGAGGAGGAGCCGGGCCATATGATTCGTATGGACCAAAGCTCCAGGGCACTGCTGGATAAAGCTGCAGCTGCTGTTTGCAGCGTCAGGGGCCGCCTTGGAGGGGTCAGGAGAGGGGGTTCAGGGGCCATCGGGGCCGCTGCAGGTGGCGCCCCCTCGGTGCCAGTTAGCGCCCGTGGTATGGCCACTTCGATCGTTAGCAAAGCGGTGGCACCGCTTGCTGCCGAGGACTCAGACCCGGAGGCGGAGTTGCTCCTGCAGCGCCCCGAACGGGCTCGGCTGAGCGAGAACACGCGCTTGGCCACCCGGTACGCCGTGCGCATCTTCCGCGAGTACCTGAGCGAGAAAGCTCAAAGCCCCGACTTCGAGACCATGGATAAGGGGGCGCTGTGCCGCGTGTTACGCTCTTTCTACGCCGAGGCGCGCTCCAAGAGTGGGCAGCTCTATTCCAAGTCGTCGCTCATCAGCATCCGTAGCTCGCTCAACCGCTACCTCAACGAACCTCCTTATTGCCGTACCCTCGACCTCACCAAGGACCCGGAGCTGCGCGCCGCAAACCTGACTCTGGCCGCAGTCATCCGGAAGCTGGAGGAACAGGGCGCCGGGCCGGTGGTGCAAAAGCAAGCCATTACGCGCGCTGACCTTCGGAAGCTGTACACCTGCAACGTTTTCAGCACGCAGAGCCCCTTCGGGCTCCTGAACCAGGTTTGGTTCGAGACGTGCATGTACTTCTGCACGCGGGGCCGCGAGAACCAGCGCGAGCTCGAGGAGGACTCCTTCGGATTGGCCATGGACGAGGACGGGCGCAAGTTTGTCTACTTTAAGGCCCTGGGCCCGTATCACAAGTCGCGCTCGTCGTCTTGGAGCAAAAAGCGCGCCGAGAGCAGCGACGAGGAGAATTTGCCGCGCATGTACGAAACCGGCACGGAATTCTGCCCTTACGCCAGTTTTGTGAAATACTTGGCGAAGCGTAACCCGCTCTGCAAGGCCTTTTTTCAGCGCCCGCGGGACCACTGCAGTGAGGGCGATGTCACCTGGTACGAGAACAAGGCCATCGGCAAGAATCTGCTGGGTACCCGCATGCAGATGCTTTCCAAGGCGGCCAAACTTTCCAAGACTTATACTAACCACTGCATCGGCGCTGTCTCCATCGCTACACTCAACAGTATCGCCGGCATTGGCACCAAGCTGACTTCAGGAGCCGCCGGCGGAGGAGGTCTCTACGGCCTCAACGGCAGAACCCGCCTCCCGCCCGTTCCCGCCAACAACACTTATATTCTCTCCAAGGACGGCGACAACCATCCCAGCGTGAAGGCCGAAGCGGCTGCTGTTCTGGTGCCGACTAAGCGCTCCCATGAGGGCCTGTACGCTGCCGGAGGCGGGGCCGCGGTAGTGGGAGATGCCTGTGGCGCTTCCTCGTCCCCCAAAAGACTTTGTCTTAGGCCTGCCGAGCCCCTCGACACAGCTGCCGTGGTGGTGGTCTCGGTGAAACATGACCCCTTGCCTCTCCTCATACCTGAAGCTAACGGGCTGAGAAGCACCAACTCTCCCACAGTCATTTCACCTGCAATGGTTTCCCCCACACAGGTAACCAAAAAGAAAATGTCTCTTTCTCCCCCCCCCACATGCACACCTTTTTTCTCCTTTTCTTAGGTTTGCCAATTGGTTTAATGAAAATATCTCCCCCAAAGTAGATGGCTCTTGGGTTCGCCCTTGATTTCAAGCAGGCTTTTTGGAGTATATGATAAAGAAACTTTGGCAACTTTATTAGTTTCCTTCATCTCTTGTGATGGCAGTACAAATTGACTGCATTTAACATTAGGTATCATGAAACTGGACAAAGTGTTTTACTATATGTGTCCCATCAGGTGATGAAGAAAAGACTTGGGAAACCTGACATCTTTGCCAGAGAGAGAGTCATACATTATGAGAAAGTTATGGGACTGGTAGCTATTAGAAAATTGACTTTTCTAAATTTCAGAAATGGGAAATATTTCAGAAAATTGAGGATCTTACTGGATCTGTACAGATTCTTGTCAAAATGTCAACAAACATGTATCTGAAATTAAACAAATTGGTTAGTTCTCAACTTGCATTGGCTGGTACTATAATTTCAAATTTTGAAAGCCCCTAGCTGATTTGTCAAGAATCATTCTTGGTTTTTTAAAATGGAGTATGCAAATTACTTTAAAGAATAATATTAAGTAGTTCAATTTTAATCAAATTGGTTCCTATAGCATCAAATTACACAGTTATTTGTAGGCCCACAACATAAATTTGAAAAATCAGAATCATTGAAGTTGAATCAATGATCTTGGCTTCCTCGTTAATCAAATTCAACTGAGCTTTAAAAGAGCTGTGCTCTGTGGATACAGGTATATAACATGTTAGAACAATTTCCAGAGTAGAAATACCAGTTTTGTACAAACTGACCCTTTCAGAGGAGTTTGCCAGCTAATCAGCTAGCCTGAAGGCTGACTGAAGAAAGAGCCTTTTTGTGAATGGCTGCATCAGCATCTGTCTTCCGTGAAATACATGTGACCTCTCTGTTTGGAGTTTGGGGCCACTTAAGTAGAGTATTGTACTTTGGTTTCCTGGTTTGCAGCATAAATGATTAGAAATCCACTGATGTTTAGGTAAAATTGGTATATGAAACATTCTTTTTTCAGCATAAAAGTATTTCAGTTAGTGAAGTTGTGGACAAATGAAAATATTTTTTCTCAGATTTTTGTTATTGTATTGCATATCTTCTAATAATGCAAAGGAAATATGTTTTGAATGAGCATACTGAAATAAAAATGTAGCTCATCGGTGTAAACCACTGATGTTAGCAAGAGGCTCTTTAAGATAAGAATAGTTCTTGCCAGGTAATTTATATAGCTTTTTAATCTAATAAGTTATAATTATATTCCATAAATATATGGCTAAATTTGTCTAAAGTGAGGTTTAGTCTGTGTTAATGCTAACAGTTATTTTATTTGAAATCAGTCATTTCAAATAAAATAAAAACATAAGTTGTAATGTGTTAGTACCTATCCCCTGCCCCAATCTGCAACAATTGAATATTTAATGAAGTTTATAGAGATAGTTTGATAATACTATCATCTTTGGGATGAAGGTGATTTGCTTATTTGCCCATTTTTATATAAAACTATTGGGAAGATAAAAAATACTTCCTTGAGGGCATGGCAATGAGTTTTAATTTAAAATGCTAATTATCCACAATTAATTTTGCCTAAATAATTGCAAACTCTGTCACATTTATAGATAGCCTTACTAATTTGAGTATAAATATCAAAATAGAAACAATAATAATAGATACATGTTCTCTCTTTTAATATAAACAAGATAATGATATTTTCATTGAGTCTTGAAAGAAAGAAATGACTGTTTGGGTTAATAGCCTTGAAGTATGACCAAAGGCCAGCAACAGGTCATTAACCTGAAAGAAATGACCTGGCCCATAACTGTTATCCTTAATTGTAAACATAGATATTTCAGGTTATAACTGAATTGACTTCATCAAGTAGCATGCCACTGAATTCCATGATTGACAAATATTGCTGCTTTCATAATAGCTTTGAAATATTGAAGGTCATAGAATGAAAGCTTTATTGACTGAGAATACTATGAAGATATATTTACTGCTACTTATAGGTAAATCATACTCCCTAGGTTTAATCAAAAACAGAATTAAAAGATTAATTTCATCTGAAATCAGCAAAGATAAACTTCACTCAGAGGTCCTTCAGGAATTTAATAATTATCTAATTTACTATAATATTGGCATTTAATCCTAATGTACCTATGCTATGATATATAGCAGTGATGGTGAACCTTTTAGAGACCGAGTGCCCAAACTGCAACCCAAAACCCACTTATGTATCGTCGGGTATTGGGTGGGCGTAGCCCATTGTGTGGGTGCGGCCAATTGGGTGAGTGTAGCCCATTGGGTGGGCGTGGCTGTGGTGGTAACAGCAGACTGGGTGGGGACTACAAGGTTCAATCAATCAATTCCAACTTTGCAAGATCTTTTTTTTCTCTGTAAGAATTTGAAATTTATTGATTGAACCCTTTTTTTTTTTTGTACATGGTGCGGAGGCCTAAAGCGAAAAGGTTTTATAAAACCCAGTTGAAGGACTAGGACTGGGGTGATGACAAACGTGCTCACAGAGAGGGCTCTGTGTGCCACCTGTGGCACGTGTGCCACCGGTTCGCCACCACGGATATATAGCATAAAATACATTATATTGAATTTGATGACTTAATACTATGTTTATGCATTGATCATTATACTAGTAGTTCTTACATAGAACTGATGGCTCTGATTTGTGAATGGAAATCAAACCATCATTAGTTTCTCTGATTTAGCTGTTTTGGGCATTTCAGAGCAAAGAAGAAAAAGCATGTGGGTGTGTTTATTGGATTCTTTGGCATTACACTAAGTAAAGATAATTCTATAGTTTCTGGGAAAAATGCAGTGGTTTCATGCCTTACAGCGTTTTCCATATATGTAATGTAGATTTATGAAATAGTCACCATCTGCAATTAGATTTAGGAGTCACTACATAATTATGCCTGCACAGAGAACCATGGTCAAAATTTACGTACAAGATTCTCTAGCTTTATGCAAATTTGCTATTATATATTTGATAATTTTTACCCAAGAATTCACTTTATTTCAGAAAAAAATACTGTTACATAATTTACACCAGCATAGTTAATTTGCATCAAAGGTCTGGAAATGTGTCCAAGACTTCTTCCTGCCAAAAACACTTGAATAGTTTCCAATACCAGGATCCACATCCCTTTGTGCCCTTAGTCACACATCTACCATTTTGTTTGAGTTGTTCTAATTGTGTGTCCTGTTTCTGACTTATTTTTTACCTGTAATAGCCACCACTTTTCTGTTGCTATGCAGTCAAATTGGCTGTGAACATTTTGTCCAACCCCCATACCCCACAGGGGAAGGTTCTTTCTAACATCAGAAACAAAGTTATTACTTGGTATTAAATTTGTTTGCTGCCCATCTTGCCTGAAAGCAATTCTGGGTGGCTTACAACATTAGAAGTTGAATGTAATAAAGTGGTGTCAATCTTAAGCATTCAGACAAGATTTTAATCCAGGTGAATCTACCATGTGCAATAACAAAGTGCTAATATTTGTAGTGCCATGATCCATTCCATCTCTTTATCTGCTATTATAATAATTTACATTAAAAATCAAGCTGTAGAGAGATGGAGAGAATATATTTCACTGTATATAAATAACTAGACAAGAAAATATATTTGGGTAACAATACTTAAGAGTAAGCCTTTTTAAAGCATATTAGTTGCTTATTTGTTAATGCATTTGGGTTACACAATTGACCTCATACTCCACAATCTTCCTTTTTTCTCCTGGTTTACTTCCTTGCTTTATGAAATCTGCTTTGTGCAAATGTTTTGGAGAATGTAATTCTAGCATAAAATAAAGGATGGCTATACCATATTTTTTAAAACAGAAATTTTATTGCAGAACATCATTATTAATTTCTCAATATGAAAGTACTAAAAGTTCAGAAGTCATGTATTCTGACCTTAATAGAGCATTTTCCCTTATTCTTTCATGCATGAAGAGTGAAATAGAAATATCACATGACAGTACTTGAATGTTGAAAAGGCATATTAAAATGTTGATTTTATCTAATTTTAGTTAAGCACAAAAACTTTCTAATATTTTAATTATTAGAAATCATAAACTGGAGAATATCTTCAACTTAAAAGCATTGCTAGGTATAGATATCCATCAGAGTGATGTCACACCTTCTATGTGTTCTTACGATTGTTGTAAATGATTGCTCCAGTATTTGGATGTTAAAAAAAAGATCTATCATGTTATTTGTCATAAATGATTTTCTTGCTGTTGAAGAAGTAGCAGACAAGTTGATGTTTTGCTAGAGTATTACACTAGTGCTTGATCATATTGGGATCTGCATATAAGGAAAGAAAGTGTGCCCAAGGTCATGAATATTTTTACATTAACCATTTAACAGTATTTGTCCAGCTTTATGTACCTGAAGGATGTTGAAGACAAGATCAGTAATAAAATTAGATTTTATAATTTTAACATGTATAACACTATAATAGTTTTGTAATTATTTAAAAGGCCAAAAACTGTCTTAAATTTCTGTGAAAAGAATGCTAAATGTGAGCCTGAAAAACTTCATTTGTAGGTCGGTTAAAGAGTCCTGGCACCATTATATAACACATCCTAGTCTTCTTGCTTATTTGCAGATTATTATGGTTCATCATACAGTCAGCCAGACATTTAGGCTAGATTTGGTATTTGTATCTACCTATCAAGTACTTCCCAAGGACCTGGGTTAGGCGGATGTGGATGTTTGGTGGTGTTAAAGGTATCATTGCAGGATGTATTTTCTTTTGCCACAGTCATTATTATTGTTCACAGTCAGCCAGGTGTTTAGACTAGACTTGGAACCTCCATCACCCTATCATGTCCTTCCCAAGGACCTGGGTTAGATAATTGTTATTGTTTGATATTAAAGATATTGTCGCAAAATATAAGCTTTTCCAAGTAAAACTGCC